TGACCCTCACTCAGATCAAATGACCGCCTACTATGGCTAGCTGGGCTCTGTTCATTAATCAGCCAATTAGTCAACTTTGATTAGGCCCGGACACAACACACACACACACACACACACACGCACATTAGGGCATTAAGGTATAAATATCAATTTGATCTGTCAAATATTGACACATCAAACCCTAAACAAACCAATGACAAGCTGTGCCCCCTCCACTCCCCTCCCCTGCCGGCTACAAGCCATTTAGCGGCAATTTATAGGCAACAAAACACCCAAAAAAAAAAGGACACAAAAAAAAACGTGGAAAATGGGAGAAATAATAAATGAAAACAAGCAAGGAAAAAGGGATTTTTTTTCCCGTCCCCCCACCCCTGGCCCGGCTCAGATCATTTCAAGGGTCCTTGACTTTGCGCCGGCAATGAGCCAATTGAGTGATGCTGCCGGCTCAAAGCAATTATGTGCATTATATTAGATGATATTATATGGTATTATATGGCATCATGTTTGCACTTTACTGTCAAAAACCGAGTTTTTTACACCAAAAAAGATGGGTGAGAGGAGAGGAGAGGAGAGGAGAGGAACCCAAACTGTGCGCATTAGATCATGCTTAGGGCAGGGGTTCGTTGTGTTTTTTTTTTTTCTGGTTAGGGGATGCTGGACCTGGACCTCGAAACTGAAGCTGAACGAATGCCAGCTAAGGTTCAAAGTGCGTGTGAAAATAAGGCTGTTTGTTGTTGTTCCTGTTGTTCCAGTTGTTCGGATGCTGGCAAAACTTTTGCGGTGTTTTATTTTGATTTTTTACCCAGTTCCCTCTATTTTTTTTTGCCAGAGGTGCGAAGCCGTCGATTTAGGGCACAAAAGGATGCTGCTCGGACAATTTGATTGCCCAACCCCGGATCCCCTGTAATGCGATAAGGCGCCAAATGCAACTCTTTCGCAATTGTCCACACATGATCTCTCATTGTTGAACTGTCAACCCGAGATTCTCTTCATTTTTATTTTATTTTGTTTTTTGGGTCAAAAGGTGCAAGTTCGTGCAGTGAGCTGGGAAGGGCTAGGGGTGGGGGCAATTAGTCAAGTGGTTAATGGATTGAGTCGAGAAATCGCATCGGATAAGGCCAAGACCAGAGCCGAACTGTACGCATGCATATTCCATTTTGTTTGTCCCCTTTGGATTTATGGATTTGTGCATTCGCCAAAGAAACAGTCAAACGAAAAACTGCAATTGCACAGAAAAAAGGGTTAAGGGGCTTAGGGGTTAGGATCTGCGGCTGCTGCAGTTAAAAAAAAAAAAAAACCGAAAAAAAAATCTGCGCAAATCTGTCCAACAGGCAAATTTATTTTCCATCCAGACTCGAGGGTTGCAGCTGTGGAAAAACCCAAACACAACACAGCGACAGCAGCTATTGAAAATTGTTTTGAAATTCAATTGAATGATGGCAATGTCATTCTAAATGTTCAAATACACTCAGCGAAAATTGGGCACAAAACGAAAAATGTGACAAGAAATAAAACATTTCATCTAATTCTAATTATGCGTCCCTTTGCAGTTTGTGAGTAAACATTTGTGATTTATGCAAAAGTCAATCTGAAGAATTAACAATATTTGTGTTAATAAGTCTTTAATAAGACTTAAAAATAAAATCCCTCAATTAATAGAGATTTAATAGATTTTTAAAAAAAATCAAAACTCTATCTAGGGCCAAGGAAATGTCTTATCCATACAGAAGCTCCATTTTCGGCAGATTATTCCTGTGTGAGGTTTATAAGAAGGATAAGCTGATCCGAAACCTTATCAAGATTTTTCTCATTTGTATAAAGCCAAATGCAATTAAAAAGTTGCTCAAAAAGAAATCAATTTTGGTTATTTATACTGTACATATGACATAGTGATCCGTTCCAGCCAATTACGACAGATGTACTTCCCTTTTGCAGATATGTGAGAATCGTGAGGCTCGCAAATGCAAATGTCCTGGAAAACAGAATATTCGGCCATACAAGAACCTACTTTTCGGCCGATCTTGCCTATGGCAGCTATATATTATAGATTATAGTATAGACTATTGATAAGATCTAACAAGCATGTAGGCAACATAGTAAAACTTTTAAATGCCGAGCTTGGAAGAGATATCTCGATAATCAAAGAAGTTTTCCATACAAGAACTGACTTTTCGACCGATGATATAGGGGTCCGATCCTGCTGATGCTGATATATAAGCGGACAACTGAGAGACTAGTTCGTTTAGAATTAAACTGACGGACGGAAGAACGGGCATCAACTCGTCTGTTGAAGCTGATCTACAATATAATATACTACATGGACTCGGAGATGTCTCTTTTTATGCGTTACACAATATGATACCCTCGGCAAGGCTATAAAAGAGACGCACCTACGCAAAGTGTCCTGACAATTGCCCAAAAACTGAGAGGCTTAGTGCAAAATCTTGTTCAAATATAAACCATGAGGTCTATACAAGTCGACTTGGTTGTAGAAGACCTTGAAGACCTCTCCAGAACCACTTAGCGGTTCGCTTGAGACCCGCGACCCAAGCAACTCGAACGAATCCGAGCTCAGTAAACGGAATGGAACCTCTTTCATATTGTAGAACTTGACGGATGAGAAGCTGTCTCTGTCAACTTGTGCTCGAATCGACACAAAATCATTTTCGCTCAGCCTCAGCATCGATTCGCGTTCCACTTCGAATATTCAAATTTGGCATCGTTTAATGTTGTCTCGAGTATATGAAACCAATCGATTGCGATTTCGTTTTCGATTTTGGATGTTCAATGTTGGCCAGGTGTTGCTTTGATGTTGCGAAATTCTCTACACCCCCTGTACATCCCTCTCCCCCTACCACTCCCCTTCCACTGTCACACACACACACACACACTCAGACACACTCATACACATGCGGGGTTTGCATTTGCATGGCCTCATTTTTTTCGCGCAGCATAATTTCAAATTGAGAGCAAATTTTACACACACACACACACATACACACACACACGCTCAGCTACATGTGTGTGTGGCATAGTTTTTCCACACGGAAAAGGATTATTTATTTATTACGAAATTTTCGTCATTCGATGCGCGGCTGCGGCGCGTGGAAAGCTGCGAAAAAAATAAATATGAGCTGGAAAAGGTGGAAAAGGTGGCCGTGGCAAAGGTAGCGCCAGGACAACGACGCGTCCAGGCCCAGGCAACCAGGCAGCCGGTCGCTCGGTCGGGCGGCAAGGCAGGCAGGCAGCCCGCAAATGTCGAATTATTCAAATGATGATTCAACCCCCTCGCCGCCGCCGCCGCAGCTACCCCTTTTGCCAATGTCCCGTGCTGGCATGTGATATGCAAAAAAAAAAAGAAAACAAGAAAGGAAGAAACGACACGCCGAAGCCTAAATACCCTAGATAGATAGATAAATACATGGTTTGGACTTGTGAACGCTTTTCAATACAGAAAGCTTTTTGTGTAAACAAAAACTATAGAACTGTATGCTATAGATATAGCAGTTCTTTGTTGATAAGATTTTGAGTTGAAACACTTGAGATCAGATTTGGTTTTAGTTTTTCCGACATAGATATACAGATGGAACGAGGGACAGACGAGACGGACTTGCCTGTGTATATCCCTTCGTCTCCTATAACTGATCCGGCATATATACCACCAGCTAGGTGCATATAACTTGCCAGAATTCGTATGCCCGCTAAGGGCTAGGGCATTTACAAGGCAGCAAGAAGCAGCAGCAATACGCACAGGACACACGCCAGGAGAGAGATACAACGACGCGGCGTTGATTTTGTGTGCACTTTTTTTTTTGCCTACCTTGCGGCAATCTGGCGGCACACACACACACACACACACACACGCACATCCTTTGTTGTTGTTGCTAGTCCTTTGTAGTTTGCATGTCCCGTTTCGTCATATGAGATCGCGAGCGCTTACAAATTTTTCATATAATTCGAAAATAAAACGCAGACAGGACAAAACAGGACTCGCCGAGGCCTATAACCCAGTATGTGCGTGCGTGTGTGTGCGTGTGTGTGTGTTGATATATAAAAAAAAAGTCGCTTTTAAGGACATCTGCGTGTTTTCCCTATCCAATATGCAAACCTCCATACAGAGCCTGCCCTCTCCCTGCAGGCCCCCTCGCACTTTCCCTCTCGCTCTCCCTCTCTCGCTCTCTGTGTCGACCACAGGCTGGCATTTGAATTCACTTAATTTGCACCTTGTTCGCCAGTTTGGTAATATTATATAGACACACACGTTTGGCCCTGTGTACGCAGTGCGCATTATGCTGGTAAAGAGCAGCGTTCGGAACATCTGCCTCGGCTCCTGCTTGGACTGCTGCGGGATATGCTGGTTGCATAAGTTGCAAATTGGGCAAACACACCTTAACAAAGCCCAAAGCCTAAAGGTGAACAAGCGTATCAGGTGACCTACGACTTTGCCTTGCCAATAAACTCTGAGAAAACCAGAAATTTTCAATGATCAATTAGTATTTCTGAATGAAAGATGAACTTTCAAAAAGGTAGATTCAAAATCAAAGTTGAATCAACAGCTGTTTGCTAGCGGCGAAACGTTTAAGGATAGCCAACAAAGAGGAATAAGAAAATTACGCTCACAAGAGAGCAAGAAGCCTTGATTTGCAAATGTACGTAACAGACAGAAGGACACCATAGTGTGTAATCAAAATCAATGCTCGAGTCGATCTGCCCATATTCATCTGTCCAACTTTCCGTCCATCTGTTCCCCCGTCCGTCTGCCCGTATAAACGCGTCTATATACGAATCTATAGGAGCAGAGATTTGGAATGTTCAACGCATAGTGTTCGCCCAGCACGAATTTTTTCCGATTATCGATAGCCTGCACCGTAGCAATCGATAAAAATCGATTTGAGCAAATGTCTTCAGCTTTCAGAGCTAGAGTCACCAAATTTTACATACATCTTCTTAAATAGTACTACAAACAGATCAAGGAACTTTCATTTTAGGATTACACTTACTTTTTTCAAATATGCTTCTTTTCAGGTTTCGGTATGTTTTTTAGCCAAATATTTCGATTTATTGTACCCGATTTCCAATTCCACTTGAATGCGCTTTCAGTATACCCTTTAAGAGTAGCTCTCTTGCGACATTTGTCCAAAATTTATCCTCTGTTAAAGTCCATTAATATCATGTACTGCTGTCCACTCGTTGCATTCCACTGCCAAAAAACTACAAAGAGACAGAAATGCAAATAGGTTAATGTATGCATATAGTACACACACACACACACACGAGCACACACACACACACGAGCACACACACACACACGGACCGGACCCAACCTGCAACTCTCAACTGAAGCGCGGTTCCAATTCCAATTCGCAATCTCCCATTCCGAGAATTTTGCATAAAATGTCCGCAAACATGTGTCCCAGTACCCAGTCGAGGTTAACCACTGCGCCTGCCGCTCCTTGTACAGCCAACACATCCCACCTCCCCCTCCCACTCCCCCTCCCCCACCGCCTCCTGCACCACAGCATTAGCCGTTCAGCACCCAGTTGGACGAAGGCAGCTCGTCCAATCTTTGGGGCGCCTGCCTCATTGGCGTCATTCTCGTCGGCGACTTTATAAAAATGTTTGCTCTGCTGTTTGTTTGTTTCTTTGTTTGTTTGTTTGTCTATGCGTCGATTTGTTTGTTTGTTTGTTTGTTTGTTTGCCCGACTGCGTTTTGTGTCGTAAATTTAATGGACAAGAGCAACAGCAACAACAACAAGAGCAGAAATCGAGAAAGGAATCGAATCGAATTGAATGGCAAATGGGAGCCATGCATAAAAAATTGGCAAAGCCAGCCAAGGGTTAACTTCGATTAGCCCGAAATGTTGTCATGGCCTGTGGTCGCACATATGTGCGGGTGCCCTCTGTGTGCGTGTGCGTGTGTGTATGCATGTGTGTGTGTGTGTGCGTGTGTGTGTGTGTGTGTGGTCATAAGGCCAAAGCACAAATAATAACAGTCACGCGTCGGGCAAAAGCAGCAAACGCGGCAAAAATAAATAATAAAATAAACATGGAAAAAAAACAAATAAGATATTGGCAACAGAGTATGCACGACCAAAAGATATCCTATGTTAAGTTGAACAATTACCCTATAGACTATATAAGATCTCACATCATCGAAAGCCCAAGTATGTATTTATTTATACATTTAATAGAGATAGTTCTTTTCAAATTGGATTCAGCTGGAATCCAACAAAAGAAATCGCATCACAATTCCAATCGGATTCACGTTCCAATTGGCTTCAAAATGGAACGAAGCAAACCAAACGGAAATTTTTATATTAGATTTCAAATTTTAACTTTAAACCTTAAATAGTTTTCAAATTAAAATAGATTTGTGTATTAAAAGATTTTCAAAAAAGAATATAAAAGATCCGACATACTCCTATGCCCAGCCCAGGCCAGGGTATAGGCTATACTAGGCAAGAAAATAAAGGACAAAGAACGATACCCAAAATAAAAAAAGGAAACGCCAGAAACATGCGAATGAATATGAGAGCGACCAGAGGCCGTGTTGGGATTGGCATATTGGGCACGGTATTTGGTATTTGGGGTTCGGCATTTTGGGTTCTGATAATATTTTGGGCTCGTTTTTTTTTTGCGTTCTTTTCTTCTTCTGTGCGGACAACGGACCAAATAGGGCCATTGATCAAAATTGTTACAATAATGGCGAAAAATCAACCCCATGTACAAGCCAAACGCCCACAGGGCCCGCCTGCTGCTGGCTGCCTGCACGGGGGTGGTGCTAGGTGGTGCGGGGTGGTGCGGGGTTGTGCGGGGTGGTGCCTGGTGACCATGGTGCGAGTTGTGGGCAAAGGCAAATACGAGCAAACGCCATTGCGGTCCGTCCTGGCAACAGACGTGGACCACAAGGACGGGCACTACGCGTCCAGGCAAGGACACGCCACACAGAGACCATGTCGGACGTTTGGACTGTCGTGACGGCCAAGTGGAGAAAAGTCTGCGTCTGCCATTGAAAGCCTTTTGATGGCAAATGGCGACGTTGACGATGGGTGGTGGGTGCTGCGCTTGGGTTAGGTCTCGGACTCAAGTTGCTGCTGCTGGAAAGGTAGCGCAAGGACCAACAGGCAGGACTCGCGTGTGTGTGTGTGTGAGTGAGTGTGTCTCTCACATGCTCCGGATAGGTAATGGCCACAGTTGTTGTTATGGCAAAAGTTCGTACGTGAGGGTCGAGCCGGAGTGCGACGACATCCTTTCGCTTTGCTCCTTTTAGCCTCGCCGGGTCGTTTGTACATATTGCATCAAAGAAAAGTTGTGCTGGGCATAAGGACACACACAGACACACACACACACACACAGGCACACACACGCCCACACGCAGTCGCAGTGCAAATAATAAAAATTGGGCTGACAAAATCGTTGCCTTGACTATGCGACGCCATGGACAACGCACAGGACAATATATATATATATACATACGTATGTCTAAATATATATATAAATATATATACATATATATACAGTATATACGCATATATGTTGCCATTGCAAAACTGAATCCCCCACGTGCTGGCGACGCAGACAGTGCTCGATTTCACAAATCCCTCTAGCTGGCCGTGCCCTTAGCCACGTTTATCAAGTCAAGACGCGGAAATTGGCTGCCATTTTGATCTGGCTCACACTCGCACTCACACACACACCCAAAGCAAAGGATAACGCGCACTAAGCTTAACTGATAGCTTTGGTCAAGGCTCCTGCTCATAGCTGCCAGCTATGAAGACTCAATGCTTGCGTTTGCTTGAACCAACAGGCAAAAGCTGCTTGCTATGAAGAGTGTTTAAGTAAGACATATATTAAAATAATATAATTGTAAAAAAAAATCTACTCTACCTAACTACTCTATGTAGCATAACTCAAACATGCTTAAAAAAAGAGACAAGTTTTCCATAAAAAAAAAAAACTCAGTTTACAATTCTTCATATTTAAAAATGACAAACATGCAAATGCTGCTTGCTATGACAAGTTTTCTTTATGATTCCTTTAAAGGAATTTACGTAGAGCTATATCTGGATTAAATATGTCGATTAAATCGTGTATCACTTAATTCCGAAGCATAGCTCATATATTTCTAGAGAAAACTTGTAGAGTATTTAAGTACTCGGCTAATACCTGACTGTAACCATGCACTAAAATTCGAGCCAAGATCGAACATAAGATCTATCTCTTTGTTTATTTCAATTCTTAACAGCCATTCAAAAGCTGCTTGCTATGGCAGCACTTGTGCCATATCAAGCAGCTCTTCAAATATTATTGCCAGACCGGATGGGAGATCTTTTAAGTCACAGCTTAAAGAAAGTAAAGGTAAAAGTAAATGTAGCTCTACGTCGGCTCAGTTGCAAGTCTCAATTTAACCAAAGACCCGCTAGGATTGCCGCCCAATTTAACCGCCGGCCCAAGCTTAAGGCAGCGCAGTTAGTCAACGTCGCGCACACCAGCATTTGCCGTGCTAGAAACCTGCCCAACCCTCCCCCCCCCCCCCCCCTCCACGCAACCAAACCGCAATCTCCGACCCAAACTTTCGACCAGGCGCAAGAGTTGGGAGCGGGGGCGGGACGGGAGCGGAAGCGGGAGCACACATCAGCGGCAGCCCTGATCTGTGTAAAAATATTAGTTCTGTCAAAATAAATTTCTTTGAGTAATGTAATCCCATTTTGCGGTCTTGACACACATACGCACACGATTCTAACGAGAAAAAAAGAAATATTTGAAATGTTTTTTTTTTTTTATATATTTTTTTCGGCCCAACTAACTCGACCAACCCCGCTGGCAGGCCACGCCCCTTGCGGCCGGTGCCCGTTTTGGGTCACATATCGCATCAAGCTGGAATATGAATGCGATAAATCTGTTCGTGATTGTTTTTGCTGTCGCACATGTTGCCCCAGCCCTGCCTCCATCAGCCCCCCGTTCTACGACAAAGGTGTCCACCACGGTTTTCATGGCCCATGCCCCTTGCAAATGGGCATACAGGGTATATTGGTTCTGTGCAAAAGTACGCAACAGGGAGAAGAAGAGGAAGTACATATATATTTAGAATCTGCAGTAGGAGTCGAGTCGATGTGGCCAGGTTCGTCTGTCTAGCTATGTACGTCTCTCTGGGCGGAAAATATAAGAGCTAGAGCTGTTTGTCTTTTCAATAGCTCGATAACAGCAATGCCTTGAAATCGATTGGAAATCGATAAAAATCGATACGAATCGATTAAAAATCGATAAAAATCGATAAGAATTGATATCAACTTCCAGGATTTTGAGCATATCTCGTTTAAGAATACCTTTTGAATCCTTGTGAGGACAACTGGGTTCAGGGTATCTCCTAGTCGGGCACACCCAACTCTAATGTGTTTTTTTTTACTTTGGCCTGCCTTAGAGTGCGTAAAAAATGCCAACGGAATTCGCTAATCCAGCAAAGAAACTGCTTGCTTCCAGAAGGGGGGATTGCCTCTGTTACAGGGGCGGGGTGTTGTGATGGAAGGGACGGGTGTGGGGGGTGGTGTTGGGGACGGCACAGTTCAGCTGTCCTTTATTACACTATTTCCACGGGCTAGGCTCAAGCAGAGCCAACGATTACGGACACATGTATGCGTATATGCTGCACGATATGTACACATACACACACACACACACATGCAGGCCTGTGACCAGGTGGGTGGTGAACAGCAAAGGCGGTGAAGGGTGGAGGGGGGGTGTGATAGGCTGCCTGATGATGACAATGTGTTCTGACAGCTTTGCGGCTGTGATTGCAAAAAATGAGAGACGATGACGAGAAAAGAACAAGAAATTTGCAATTTTTTGCGTGTAACACACGCACACACATATACATATGCATATGCATATGCATGTGTATGTGTGTTGAATGAGAGCGAAATGTTTTCTTCAGATTTGTCGAAGAGCAGATACCCTTACAAGCAAAATATTTGTTGCTAAGTCACTTCTAAGACCTGCTCATTCAAGGCGAACCGGTTCGAACCCGAATTTTTCAGCCGAACCGAACCGTATTTGGTTTTGTCCCAAGGCAAAACATAAATAACTGTAGCTTCAGCCATTATATAATATAATAAATAAATAAATAATATAATATAATTATATAGTCAATGTCAATTTGGGTTAGAGATCCAATTTTGACCTTCTTCTAAATTGAATATCAATTGTTCAACTTAATTAAAGACAAAACTTGGACTTATTGTCAACCGAATCTGATAAAGGCAGGTAGCTGGTTCGAACCCAGAGCCGAATCACTGACTAATCTAATTTGGCGTAGCAGTCTGGAATGTTCAAGGATGTAAAAGGCCTCAGATATATCTACCTCAACATGCTGTGCAGAAAAATCATAATACCCTCAAGGTAAGGGCATAAGAAATCAAAAGCAAAAAAAAAAGAAAATCATGTAATGTAATAT